ACAGCGGGGAGGGCATTTGCCTTGCACCTGGCCAACCCAGGTTCGATTCCCAGCATCCCATATGGTCCCCCAGCATCGCCAGGAGTGATTCCTGAGTGCAGAGCCAGGAGTAACCCCTGTGCAGCGCCCAGTGTGACTCAGAAAGAAAAAAAAAAGAAGCCGCCACCTCCGATGGTCTTTGCAGGGCCTCTGAGGCGGTCACACTCCCAGTGGCGGTCTTGCCCACAGCCCAGTGGCCAGTGGCTAGCACCACCTCTGAGAAAGGGGAGGTGGCAGAACCCCACTCAGCGCATTGCCCACCTGGCCGGCCTCTGCTTTGGAGACCAGGAGGCTTCCTCCCTGTGTCTGGGGCACCTGGTACTGGGGGACCCAGGCATACCATGGCCCTCAGCCCTCAGAACTCCCGGCTCCCGGTGGACACAGGCTGTTGTGGATGGTGTGGCCACTGCTTGGGTCCTCCCCAGAGGAGGGATCCCAAGACATCGGTGGGTCAGGGCCCAGACAGGTAGTGCCCAGCAGACAGTGGGGCACTGGACCCAGAACCTCACAGAGTCCCAGGCGCTGCCCACAGCTCTTTCGCCTTCCCGCTGCTCAGGCAGGAAGGAGCAGACCAGGGCGCCCTGCTGAGCGCTGAGGGCAGAACCAGGACTGGGCTGGATGAGCTCAGACGCGCCTTAGAGGAACATGGCCAGGCTGGTCTTGCTATTTGTGTTTGGTTTGGGGCCACAGCCAGCAGTGCTCAGGGTTACTCCTGGCTCTGTGCTTAGGGATCACTCCTGGAGGGCTCAGGGGACCCTATGGGGTGCTGGGATCAAACCCAGGTTGGCCGCATGTAAAGCAAAAGCCCTCCTGCTGTCCTATGGCTCTGGCTCTGGTTCATCCTTTCTGACATCTGCAGGGTAAGTCGGTCCTATGGGCTCCAGTCCTTGTTCTTTCCAGGTGGGACCCAGTGGGACCCTGTGGGACCCTGTGGGACCCTCTTCTGCAGGACCAAGGACAGCGGAGCTGGGTAACTCTCCACCATCCAAGCTGAGTATCTGATGGTCACTGGTTAGATGGATGTAGTGATGGATGGATGGGTGGAATGAAGGAAGCATGGATTGGAGGATGAATGAATGACAGTGACAAATGGATGGGTGGGATGAAGGATGGAACATACGGATGAAATGAAGAATGGATGGGTGGAATGAAGGATGGAACATATGGATGAAATGAAGGATGGATGGGTGGGATGAAGGATGGGCGGGTGGACGGTTAAGTGGATAAATGTAGAAATGAAGGACAGATGGGTAACTGCATAGAATGGAAAATGAACGCAGTGAAGGGTGGAGGGCAGTGAAGGGTGATAGTGGAGGGTGCTGGGTGATAGTGGAGGGTGCTGGGTAAAGGGTGAAAGGGGGGGAGGGGGATGGAGAGTGAAGGGTGATGTGTAAGAGGTCGGGTGGATGGGTAGTGATGAGTAGGTGGAGTGAAGGAAGGGTCGTGAAGGGTGACAGGAGGTGGGGGAGAGTTAAGCGTGGTTGTACAGGGAAGGTAGGTGAACAGGAGGCAGGCAGAGGGCACAATGCCCTCTGTGTCTGCCCAGCAGGCCCACGCTTTGCTGCGGTCGGTCCTACCGCTTTAGCTTATGGCACCTTCAGGTGTGCCGGGCCCTGCTCCCTGAGCACCTCCCCTGGGTCCAGGCACTGAGCCTGGGTGGGGGCAGGATCCCGACTGGCTACCCTCCTCCCTCCTGGTCCCTCACCAGCACTGGCAGACAATGACCTTGTCTTGACTGCTGCTTGGGAGGCCAGAAGGCTCTGTGGGCAAGGCCAGGCCAGTTCCTGAGGACTGAGAAGGTGGCAGAGGGGAAGAATGTGGGGTCCGCCTCACACATGGCATTGGCCGTGCCCACAGTATGCCCCGTCCACGCTCTAAAAGTGGGCCATGGCCACGTCCACCCAGAGCTGTGGGCCAGGGATGGCTGCTGTGGCTAAGACACCGTGCTGCCCTGGGGCCTGAAGGGGTACCCCAAGTCCACACCCGCTCCAGGGTGCTAGAGCCTAGGCTCAGGGGGTGGTGCTTCTCGAGGTCCCCTGGGAAAGGATGCCTCGGTCAGCATGGACCACAAATGTCCCCGTGCCCCTGAGGCAGCTGAGCTGGCTGGTGGGGTCTGTCTGGGTGGCCCTGGGCTCTAGGAGTGCCCTCCCCACCCCCATTCCCCTCCCTCCCCGCTCCTCCTCCCAGCCCTACTTCTGTTCTGGGGCTTGGGGCCCACCCTAGCCTCCATCCCCAGAGCGGAACTAGCAGGCAGGCCCAGGACCAGTCCAGCACTGAGCCTTCTGCATGTAATGCCTCTGGCTGGTCCACACCCAGACGCTGCCCATTCCCTGGCCCCCAGCAGGACCCCAGACTCTGCTTGCAGGTCACTCAGGCTGCGTTGGGAGCCCTGCCATTTTCTGTCTAATTAATTCTTTTATTGTGTACCGGATAGACAGACAAAGGCCTGGCAATAATGACTCATCCAGAGGCAGTTCTGCCTCTCCAGGACCTGCTCCCCACGGGCCTCACCCCCTCAACCCTTTGTGTGTCCTCCTGGAGTTAGGGGGGGACCCACTGCACCAGCCGCAGGCCTTGACCACACCATGGCCATCCCAAGGGTCATGGTCAGGGAAGAGCTGAGGCAGCAAGAGGCTAGTTGGTAAGGTGGGTGGGGGAGTGGGGGCAGGAGGAGAGGCGTGGGGGGCCCTGCCTCGGACTGGGCTGAGCTGTGATGTTCCCCAGAGTCGGCTCAAGTCACCATGCTGGACACTTCATAGGCCGACCCCTAGGTGTAAGTGGCCCTATGCTCTGCCCAGCGACACCGCCCAGACCTTCCTGGACCCCAGGACCCTAGCACAGGGCGCTGAGCAGGAGAGAATCCCCAAATGAGAATGGGCAGACAGTGCAGTAGCCTCCCTGGACAGAGCCTTCCTCCCTGGGGAGGCTGGGACTCCTGGCCACAAGAGACCCCAAGCCCCAGTCCACACCGGGGTCCAGGAGCAGCACGCTAGGGCAGCAGGGCCGACCCCAAGCCCCCGCTGGAGTCCTCCTGGGAAGCACAGTCCTCCTCGGGGGCCACCCTGAGCCCAGGGAGCTGCCCCACAGCAGTTTTTGGTCAGCACAGGCTTCTGCTCACCCCACACCACCCGAGAGCATGACTGCCCTGGGGTCCAGAGTCCCTGAAAACTGGCAGGGACAGCCCAAAGGGAGGCCAGGGTGGGGGTCCACCCGGTGTTCCCTCAACATGGCCTCTGGCTGCAGCAGGGGTGGTGCTCAGTGGTACCCCGCGAGTGACTGGGCCTCACACCTGTGGCCCCACCTGGCCCGGCCCCTGAAACAGGATGGGGGACCTGACCTGAGGGGCTTTTCCAGGCTCTGGGGCGGGTCCAGCACTTCCCTTTCTGCTGAAAGAGCCTCTGTTCCTCTGAGAAGAGGAAGTGTTCAGGATGGGCCAAGGGCTCCCAAAGGTGTGGGCTGTGGGGCCTGACTGGGGACACAGGGACAGCATGGCTGGTTCAGGGATTTTGGGAGGATGGAGACCCCATGGCCGCCAGGTCTGAAGTGCTTGGAGAGGCCACTGGGGAGGGAGGGGTCCTGGGAGGTGTGGGCTGTCCCTGCCAGTTTGCAGGGCTGACTCCAGGTCGCCCCGGGACCTGCATATCAGGGCCGATGCTTCCCAGGTGCCAGTCCAAGGGCGTGGAGCTGCTGCCATAGGTCTCCACCCACGCTGCAAGTGCCCACCCTGGAGGCGGGCAGGCGCCTGGCCTGGCGCGGCCTGTGGGGTGCGGCTGCCCTGCCTGCTGTGCCCCCCACTGGTTCCCCCCAGAAGTGTTCTGCCAAGCAGACGCAGGGTAGCTTTGATTCCAGCTGGGCTCCGTGCCAGGGCCCGGGAAATGCCTCAGCCACCCAGAAACCGGCGCTGGCCTGGCCCGGAGGAAACGGGCCAAACTGAGCTCTCTGTGCCCTTTTGTCTATGGAAGAGCCCCACCCCCAAGAAGGGAGACCCTGGCTTTCCCAGGGCCCAGCAGCTCCGAGAGAAGGGGCAGCACCTGGGGCAGGCACCCTCTCTGCTCGTCCCATGAGGCTTTCCAGCAGCCTAAGACGACCAGCAAAGGGACATAAAGGCGGCACATGGTCAAAGGCCTGTGTTTAATCAGATCAATTGCACTGTACAAAAGTTAGCTGCTCAGTCAGAAGGGGAAGCGGAAGGTGAGTGCCAGTCTGGCATGGTCAGACATAAGCCAAAACGTTTTTTCTAGAAAAAGTAGAAAAAGTAAAAAGAAGCAACTCCTTGACGGCTCTACACGTACAAAGTTTTAAAGGCACAGTTTCCTTGAGGTGGTCGGGTTCAGTCGGCCCGTGGGGGGAGGAGCCCAGAGAAGGGCCTGTCTGCTCCAGCCAGGGCAGAGGGCAGCACCCTCTCCCCAAGCTTCCACTGACTGGGCCAGGCACACCCCGAGGCGCCCAGAGAAGGGCCTGTCTGCTCCAGTCAGGGCAGAGGGCAGCACCCTCTCCCCAAGCCTCCACTGACTGGGCCAGGCACACCCCGACTGGGACCCCGCTCTCTGCTCCTGCGTTCCAAACCCCCTGCCCCGGCCTTCATCTTCTCCTCCTGGGAATTTGTCTTAAATGCTACTCTCCTCACAAATTACTTCCTTAATTAAAGATAAAATAACACAGAACATAAATACATTTTAACAGCTTTCAAAACAAATCAAACACATTGAAGCCTCAAAAATAAACATGACGAAACAGCACGAGAGCATGTGTGACCGCACAGCCAAGCAAGCACTCTGTGAGTGGCAGGTCTGGGTGCCCGCTGCACGTGCTGCAGGGAGGCTAGGGTCCGGGGGGCCACCGCTCTCTTCCTCTGGGGACGCTGTGTGGCTGTACTCGGGGCCCAAGCCACACACTGCATTCGGAGTCACAGTCATTGCCGGGTGCCATGGGGAAGGGCTGTCTGGAAGCTGGGCAAAAGGCCAACTTGCTGGCACAGGGTGCCCCAGGCTGGCACCTCCCTGCACTAGTGCTCCTGGCCCAGGCTGGCCCCTGTAGGCTCTGGCAGACTCAGGGTCTGGTCAAGGTGGTGTAGACAGGCTGCTCCCAGTTACTGGAGGGGCTGTGTGCAGGCGCCACAGAGAGGCCACCGAGCAGAGGCGAGGCATAGGGCCGGCGGGACGAGTGGAAGTAGGGGTACTGGTAGAGGCTGGACGGGTAGCCAGGATACGGGCCGTAGTAACTGGGCGCTTGCAGGTCGGTGTAGTCACACTGTGTGCTGCCGAAAGAGCCGGTGGCTGCAGCAGCAGAGGGGGCCGTAGTGACACTGGCCTGGGCGCTATAGGCACCAAAGTCAGAACGGCCCGGAGAGCCATGGGGCTGCTCGCTGTAGTGGCCCGGGCTCAGCTGCTCCGTCTTGATGTGAGGCCGCGCGGGCTCAGTGGGGGAGGCCGATGGGGTCCCCTTGTGCGCCCAGGCAGGGGACACCCCAAGGCTGGCCACCCCAGAGTGGGGATAGGCGGGGGCCCCGTAGGAGCCCGGGCCGGCGGGCGGGCCGGACTCTGCGGGTGGGGCCGCGTGGCCGTGCAGCGGCAGGTACTGGTCGAACTCGCGCACGTCAAAGGCATCCATGTTTCCGATGACCTCGCTGCTCAGGTCTGAGATGTCCAGGTTGCTGAAGTCGATGTTGTGGCGGCTGCTGTCCAGCAGGCGGCGCCCCTCGGGCTTCAGGTCCTGCAAGCCCGCCGGGTGCCCGTCGGTCTTGGGTGTGGTGGGCGGGGTGGGCGGCCCGTGGGTCTGCCCTGGGGACAGAGCACATCTCAGCATGAATGCCCCTCTGTGGGGCGCGGGCCGCGCGTGCCGGGAGGAAGCGCCGCCCGGCTAACTGCCGCAGGAGCAATCAAGGGCTTTTTGTTCCTTCACCTTTCCCAGAAATCCCACAGTGCCTGACCCAGACCTCGCCTTGGCGAGAGCACTCCGCTCAGCCAAGTCCACGAGGAGAAGACGGGACCAAGGAGGCCCCACCTACCTGCCTCCCCTCTTCCCTCCGTGCAGCCGGTTTGGCAGAGATGCCTCCCCAGTGGGGTCCTGGAGCCTGGCTGGGCCAGGCTGGCTAGTCACCCAGGAGGCAGAGGTGTCCTGGGCAGGGCAGGACTGGCAGCTCAGGGTGTGGCTGAGGGCACTCAGTGAGGGCTCCCCACCCTGGGACCCAGACACTGGGGGCCCCCAGGACTCACCCGTGAGGCCGCTACGGCTGTGTGCGTCCACGTCAGCCTTGTAGCCAGCCCCTGCTGGGTGGTGGCCCAGCTCGGCACTGGAGTCCGAGTCGCTCTGGCCGGCCTTGACGTTCTTCCTGCGCCGCGGCTGGTACTTGTAGTCTGGGTGGTCTTTCTTGTGCTGGACCCGCAGCCGCTCAGCCTCCTCCACGAAGGGGCGCTTCTCGCTCTCACTCAGCAAGCTGCCAGCAAAGACGGTAGCACCGTGGTCCAGGCCTGCCCCCCGTGCCCAGTGGCCTGCTGCCGAGGTCTGAGCAAGGGGCAGGAAACCAGACCAACCTCTGTGCCCCTCCGTGGGAGTTTCTGATCATGCCACAGACTAGCGGTCGCGGGGAAAGCAATCCCCCCAGCCGCCACAGCGCACAGCCCACCCCCCTTGGCTCTGCTCACACCCGCGCCCGTCCAGCTGCCGGCATGGCCCCCTCGAGGGGCCGTCCCCCGCGGCTGCGGCCACTCACCGCCACAGCTTGCCCAACGTCTTGCTGAGCTCGGCGTTGTGCAGGTGCGGGTACTGGTCGGCCAGCTTGCGGCGCGCCGCCTGCGCCCACACCATGAAGGCATTCATGGGCCGCTTGACGTGCGGCTTGGCCTTGAGCGCGCCGCCGCCGCGCACGGGCAGCGGCACCAGGCTCCAGTCGTAGCCGCGCAGCACCTGCGACACGGCGTCGCGGATGCAGGCGGGGAAGCGCTCGTCGGCCTCGGCCGCCGTGGCGCGCCCGCCGCCCCCCGAGCCCCCGGCGCCCGCCGCGCGCCCGGGACCCTCGGAGCCCGCGGGCGACGGCGGCGCGTCCGAGTCCGAGTCCTCGACGTGCGACATGGAGCCCGCGGGGCCCGCGGGGCTGCAGGGCGGCGGGGCGCGGGCCTCGCCCGTGCTCCTCATGGGGCTGCAGCAGGGCCCGGCGCGGGGGTCGCGCGGCGCTCCCGGGGCCCGGCGCGGGGGTCGCGCGGCGCTCTCGGGGCCCAGCCGCCGCCCCCCGCACGGCAGCTCCCGGGTCCCGGCCGCCGCCCCCCGCACGGCCGCTCTCCGCTCCCGACCGCCGCCCCCTGCACGGCCGCTCCGGATCCCGGGCGCCGCCGCCGCCGCCGCCGCCGCCGCCACCGTTGCCGCCGCGACTCGGTCCCGCAACAAGTTTCTTTAAGCTGCCCGCGAGGCCCCGCCCCCCCGCGCGCCCCATTGGCCGGCTCCCGCCCGGCCCCCGCCCGCCCCTCCCCCAACCCTTAAAGGGAGCGCGGCGAGTCCCGAGGCACCGCCAGCGCCCGGTCCGGCGCCGCCCCACGTGGGGCCGGCGCGCCCGGCCGCCGAGGGCCCGCGGGGCAGCGGGGCTTCTCCCCGGAGGGACGCGAGCCGGGGTCAGAGTCGGGGCGCCGTGGGGGGCTCGGTCCGCGGCCACGTCGCGGCTCCGGGGCGTCCCGTCCCCTGGCCGGTTTCCCTGCTCCGGTCACTCCGCCCGGAGGAAGCGGCTCCTCGGGGGCCACCCCAGACCTGCCAGTCTCGGGTCCCAAGGTCCTGCGCGGCCCGGGGGATGGTCAGCCCCGCGGGCGTCCTCCCGCGCCCCTGGTCCGCGGCCGCGCACGTGCAGGTAACGCGCGCCCGGGGCGGCGGACAAGAGCCCAGGGATCCCCGGGCCCGGCCGGGCGGGGGCGGGCGCGCGGGGCGGGGCTGGGCCGGCGCTGGCCGCTGGGTCCCTCGGGCCACCCGGCGGATGGCGTGGCCGGACGCGGGGGCCCAGCGCCTTCCGGGCGTGACCCGGGGGTGGGGGAGCGCGGCCCGTCCGGCCGGGGCCCTGGGTGGTCCGGCGGAGGCAGAGGCCGCCTGGGGCGCCCGGAGTGAGGAGGTGGGCGCGCCCGCCGGGGGGGTGGGGGCGGCGGGGTCGGAGAGGGGACATCTCCCCGGAGGCCAGCGCCAGCCGCCCCCGCGGGCTGGCGTCGTGCCTGGCGGATCTTCCTCGAGTCCTCCGGAGGCCGTGGCTGACCACGCGTTCCCCAGAACCCTGCCCCGGCCGGCCCTGCCGGCCACGCGTCCCTGCACCAGCACCGCGTCCACTGCAGGCCTCGCCCTCCCAGCGATCCGACTGTCGGCGAGTATCTGGCCTTGAGTCCGGGAGGCCGGAGGCAGTGGCCCAGCCCGGCTGCCTATTGGTCAAGGGGGGCGGCCGCGCACGAGGCCCAGAGCCCAGCCGCCTCCCGCCCACCCCAGGGGCTCCGGCTGCCCGTGCAGGGGGCTCCGCCCCGCTCTGCATCTCAGAAGGTCTCGCGGGGCAGCGAAGGGACAGGCGCTGGGACTTGCCTGTCCTTTGCCCTTCGGTCCTGCTGTCCAGCGAGGCCTGCCGCGGGCTGACTCGCCGTCGGGGCAGCTCCTGCATTCCTGCTCCTCACCCACCGGCCATCTGCCATCCCCAGTACACAGGACCCACCGCTTGTTACCTGCTGGACCTCACGCTGGGGGAGAGCAGGGACCCCAGGATGAGCACGCCTGCCCGTGCCCAGCCTGTAATCAGTGGGCTGTGGGGGTCAGGTTGCCGCCAGAGAAAAACTTCGTTCATGCTACAGATGGATCGCACACCTCACAGAAGCTAGGTCAGACCAGACTTGGAGACCCTATCTGCGTGGGCACCCCTGGGGCTCACACTGAGACCCTCCCCAATGCGGGCTCAGACAGACCCTCCCCCATGGGGGTTCAGACTGAGACCCTCCCCCACAGGGGCTGAGACAGACCCTCCCCCATGGGGGCTCAGACTGAGACCCTCCCCCATGGGCCATCTGTGGGCTCAGAGCTGTGCGGGAGAGGGGGGGTTGATGTCCACAGGGACTGTCCATGCTCACCTGTACTTGTGGGGCCAGCACATCCCCGACTCCACCTGCTGGGGGGAGATGTCGCCACAGTGTCACCTCAGGCCTCATAGTCGAGGGGGTTCTCCACACAGTCGCCCCTGGTAGAAGGTGCCAGTCAGTTCCCAGCCTTGGCCCCTCACCATTCCCATGCTCTGGTCCTGCTCCCTGTCCTTGGATGCTGAGTGTCCTGGAGGAGACGAGATAAATGGCCTGATGGCCCATGCCTGCACTGGGAGTCTGGCCTTCACCTTTAGAATCACCCTGCAAGGGCCCAGCTGCACTTCAGGATCCAGTGAAGCTTCTTGGGTCCCAGTGGGACCCTTCCCTGGCAGCGGCCACTGCGGGGGGGGGGGGGTTGTGCAGCACAGGAAAAGTGCTCTTCGGGGCCTCATTTGCTGTGGGAGAACCCAAAGATGCCAGGGTCGGTGGGGCTCGCCACCCCGGGCTGCCTCCATGTCCCTGTGCTTGGTGACATGCACAAGCAGGGCACGAGCAGGGGCCGGAAGTGATATGCTTGTGTGGTCGGCATCCAGGCCCCAGCCCTGCCTCCCAGCTGCCAGCTGTTCCTTTGGGTGCTCAGCGGTATGGAGCACTGCTTCAGGCACGCCGGACCCCAGGCTGCCTCAACACTGGGGAGTGATTGCACTCGGCAGGTCTGGCTGCCAGGGCCATCCAGGGAGGCCCGACCTCAGAGCTGCCCAGGAACCTGGAAGAACGAGCCGACCCCACACACACAAGCACATATGGGCCTGCTCAGCTCCTTACATGGCCACAGGCAGAGTTTGGGGCGTCCAGGCAGCAAGGGCCAGGGACAAGAGGCCCGAGGGACTGAGCATGGCCAGGCTGCTGCTGGCACCTGCCCTGAGGATCTGCCTCTGCAGGGGCTCATGGGGTACAGTGTTCTGCGTCCTGGGCCTCAAAGGTCCTGGCTCACCTTCTGGGGATATCTGGCCTTGCACCCCCATCCAGGGAGCTGTGTCTGCCCTCCTTCCGGCAGTGACTGTCATCCCATGTGGACAGCCCAGGGCCTTGGACTCTGTACCTTTGGGCAGGGAGGGTCTACGGGCAGGCAAGAGCCAAGGGACAGATAGGGACCAGGATAACCTCCTGGACTGTGTACTTGAGGGTAGGACTGGCCCATGGTGGCACCCAAGACCCCAGCACAGGCTCAGCCCTTGGGTTGTCCCCAGAACCTCACTGCCCATTGGCTGGGGCTCAGGGCTGGCCCCCAGGGTGCCAGCATGCGGTGGGCATGTAGCAAAACACGTTCCACACTCAGTTCTCACCGGCTTGCAGCACCACAGGAGCTTTAACGGGACTGGCCTGCATGGGCCACCTCTGCAGAGGACAGTGACAGGTGTCCACACCAATGCCCCCCATCCACAGATATCATGACATGAAAAATGGAGGTAAATGAAGGGTGCACAGTCCCATCCGAGCCCAAGCTGGACCTCGTGGGGGCTGGAGACAGCTGCAGACAGGACAGTTGCCCCGGGCAGGGGGTGCTGGGACAGCTGGGTGAGGTGCTGCCACGGGCACAGGGCACTGTGAAGCCAGTCGCAGCTGCTGGGAGCTCTGCCAGTCACGGCTGCCCGCCTGGGCTCTGGCACACTGCGGGGTGCAGATGGCCCCCTGGCTGCTCTCTGGGTCTGTACCCTCCCAGCCTCTCTCGAGCCAATGGCTTCTCTCTGGGAGTCCTAACTCTCTGAACGCCCTCCCCATTCTAGCGCTTTCTTTCCAGCTGGCTGTCTGGGGCACAGCCTAACAGCCCATGCCCCCTGAGAAACATGTGGGAGAAGCCACCCAGCCCCCTACCCAGGCCTGCTTTCTTCCTGCAGACTCAGGATCCCTGCACCTTGGTGCTGGTGCATGGCTGCCCTTGGCTGGTTTGTGGATGAGGCTTGCTGTCCGCCCTCCTCCGGGCCTGTGATCTGCTCTTCCTAAATGGCATTTTTGTTTGTCTGATTTTTGTTTGGGGGCCACACGTATTCGTGTTCAGGGCCTACTCCCGGCTCCGCACTTAAAGATAACTCCTGGAGGGCTCCTGGCATATGGCCAGGACTGGACTCAGGCTGGCCACATGCAGGGCAAATGCCCTCCCCAGCTGTCCTATCACTCAGGCACCTTAAGTGGTGTTTTAAACTACTTGCCATTCCCTGTAGAGACTGGACGTGAGTGCTTTGTGCTGTGTGCAGATCTGCCTACCCTGGCTGCTCAGAAGTGTTGCCTGTACCTGGCCCGTGTCTGCCCGTTCCTCCTCAGCAGGTTTGTGCTCCTCGTGGGTCAGAGCCTGCATCTTCTTCTGAGCACACCAGCAGGGCACAGCCACTTGAACCCGGGCAGGAATGAGTCAGAGCCATGCCTCTGGCCAGCCTGACCTCAGCCATGCCCAGTTCCATGTGGGCCATTCCCACAGACCCTGTCTGGCCCTCCAGGGTCAGCCCCCAGGAGGAAAGACCACTGGGGACGAGAGCTCTGGCTTCTGCCGAGCCTCTCAAGGGTCTCGCCTGCCCTGGGCAAGCCAGGAGAGGGAGCCTGGAGCTCAGAGTCTGTGGCTGGAGCCGGACAAGGCGCCTTTCTCTCTGCACAATGCTGCATTGTGCCCCTCTCCCAGGAGGACAATGCGGCCCTGGCCAGGGGAAGCAGAAGACAAAGGGCCCTTTGTGAGAACTGTCCCCACCTGGAAAGTGGCCCCAGGGTCACACCTGATGGCGGAGCTGTCCCTCCTCAGCTTCCATCCCAGAGCAGCTCCTGCTTCCGGCAGGAGACCCAGGGAAGCTGGGGCTGGGTGCTGGGAGTCCCCTGCTCTTCCCAGACCACTGCTGGGACCCCGACAGTGAGGAGGAGATGTGTGTGTGTGTGTGTGTGTGTGTGTGTGTGTGTGTGTTGGCGAGGGTGGTGGGAGGCACCGGTTCTTGTGGAGGCAAGCACGGCACGTTCCTCTGATCCATGGGCTCACCAGCAAAGGGGACGTGTGTGGCCTGTAGCAGTAGGGTTTCACAGAGGGAGCGGCAAAGACGCACAGTAGGAAGCCTCTCAGTTTGGGGGGCTTCGGGGTGTCTGTCAAGCACCAACTTCCGACTTCACAGCGCTCAAACATCAGGGTAAAGCTATGTCCAAATTCCCAAGGAGCATCAGTCAACAACACAAGCATTCCTGGCTTATGTCTCAGCCCACACGAAACAAGATGTGGAAACAAGCCAAGAAGGACTTGCAGTGTACACACACCCCTGGGTCTTTGATATGCAGAGTGCCCCAAGAAATAAATAAACCCTTTGGGGCAGAAGTGATAATACAGAGGTAGGGCCTTTGCCTTACACTCTGCCAAACCCGGTTCGGTCCCTGCTACCCCAAATGGTCACCTGGGCACAACCAGGAGTAATTCCTGAGTATAAAGCCAGGAGTAACCCCTGAGCATCACCGTGTGTGGCCCAAAACCAAAACCACACACAAAAAAAAAAAAGGAAAGGAAAAACCCACAGCTGCCGCAGAACTTGGCGGTTTCCTAACCATGCTCACCTTGTGGGGTGTGGGAGAGCTGAGAAGGGTGGCCTGGGGACCTTTTACCGGGGGAATGTCACCCAAGGCTGCTGAAGTGCAGAGCCTCTGCCAGGACCCTGGCCACACCCCAGCCCCTCCCAGACAGATCTGGTGCATCTTCCTTCCCAGGGTGGCGGGCGGGCGCGGGGTTCCCTGCTATAAGGGTTGATGGAATAAAGCAACGGGTGAACCTTGGTGCAGACCCAGCCCCGTGCGCTTTGCTGCCCAGTCCCCGCGGCGTGGGCGGAGCTTCTGTGTGGGCGGGGCTGCTCCTGTGTGGGCGTGGCTTCGCGGCGGGGGCGGGGCTCGGCGCCTGCGCGCTGGCGGCTGGGCAATGGCGGCGCACGAGGAACCCGTGAGGCGGCGGAGGGCGGGCGTCAGGGACGCGGCCCCGGACGCCGGCCCGGGCCCCGGGCGCGAGCTCGCGGGCTGCCGCGGCCGCCTCCGCGAGGGCACCTTCTGGCTGACGAGAGTCGTGCTCCTGCGGGCTCTGGCGTTCGTCTACAGTGAGTCCGGGGCGGGCGGGCCGCGGGCTGCGGGCGGACAGAGCGGACGGCCTGCTCGAACGTTCCGGGCGTCCCCGGGCCGCGCGCCCACGGCCGTCGCTGTCCGCGTGGCCTCTCGGAGCCGCCGGGCGCCGCGGGGCCGCGCCTGCCCGCGCCCGTCCGAGAGTCCCGAGCCCCTCGGCCCGGGGAGGGTCCCCGGCGGACCCCCGCGAGCTGCTGACCCCGCCTGCTGGCGCCCTCGGCGCACAAACAGGCAGGGGTGTAGCCCCGCAGTTGGGGGTGCTGGGTGCGCACCAGACCCTAGTGTGCCCTGGGGTGTCGCTGCCCACCGCCCCCCTGGAGCTTCAGCCTCCTCGCCCCCAGCCCCTGGGGCCCAGCCTTCTGCTGCCCCCAGCTCCATCCCTTCCAGCCTCCCAGCCCCCAGCCCCATTCACTCCCTCACGTGTAAGCGCACCCCCAGCCCCGTCGGGCAGTGATCCCTCCCAGTCTGTCCAGCCTTCCAGTGGCAGCCCCCAGCCCCATCCACCTTCACCCTTGGACCTGAGCCGCAGGCTTGTGGCCGGCAGGGTAGAGGCCACAGCAGGCCCTCAGGACCTCGGACAGTGCCGCCTGGCTTCTGCCCGCAGCTGCCCGGAGCAGGTGCCAAGGCAGACGTGTCGCCTGCATGGGCAGGTGTAACCAGTAGAACTCCCAGCGCAGAAGGGCATGACGGCCCTTCAGAAACTGAGGCGCGGGCAATGCTGGGCTGCAGGAGGGGGTGGGCGTACTCGGGTGCTTGCAGCATGTAACCTTCTTGGGGGAGACCCCAGAAGACCCTCACCTCTCCACGGCACCCCCACCTCCGCAGCACCCCACCTCTCCACAGCATCCCCCACTTGTCCACAGCACCCCCACCTCTCCACAGCACCCCATCTCTCCACAGCGCCCCCACCTCTTCACAACACTCCACCTCTTCACAGCATCCCACCTCTCTACAGTATGCACACACACGCTTCTCCTCAGCGCACACACACAAACACCTCTCCACAGTGCACACACACACTTCACAGCACACACACCTCTCCATAGTGCACCTATACATGCGCGCACACACTCCACAGTGCAAACACGTACAGGCCTCTGCAGTGTCACACACACTTCACAACACCCACATCTCTCCACAGTGTGTGTACATGAGCACACATACACACGCACACACCTACACCTCTCTGCAGTACCCACACCCACATACACATGTCTCCTCAGGTAGTGGGTTGTGCGGACACAGGGGAGGGCATCCCTGCGTGTCTGTTTTTCCTGGAATGCAGAGTCATGTGAAAGAGAGGAAGCAAGACTTACTGTCAGTTGTTTTAGTCTGTTTGGGGGCCACACTGGTGGTGCTGAGGGCTTATTCCTGGTTCTGTGCTCAGGGATACTCCTGGTGGGACACCAGGGACCATATATAGTACTGGGAATCGGACCGGTTCAGCCACACGCAAGGCAAGCCTACCAGCTGTACTGTCGCTCCAGCCCCTTTTTTTCAGTTTCTGAAGAACCATTTGTGGCTCCTGATGGCACATATTTTGGTCACCTCGAGGTGCCCTGTCTTACTTGGCTCTTGGGGTTCCACCCCCAGGAAGGGAGTAGCCTGGCTGAGCGTTTACTTTGGGAACCTGCAGTATTTTGAAATTTCTGTTCCTCTGCCATTTCCGTAAAACAAGTGGGAACTGAAGGATGACATTTCCTCTGCAACCCAAGTTCAGCCTGCTTCCCTCTTCCTCCTCTGCATCCTGCCACACCCATGCTTTTGGAAACAAGCTGGCGAGATGAGCCTTAGCTCTCCCCTGTGGCATTGGACAAGGAACTGTGGTATGCAGCCACTCAGTATCACTTATGAAATTCTTGCAGAAAGTGCCTATAAGGACGGGTTCGTGGGACAGTCAGGGGACCCAGGCTGAGGGGTACAGGAGTGGCTGTGAGGAGAGCACACCACCTACCCATACCACAGACACATGAACACTACCGCTACTGCACCTACCCAGCCACGGACACCCCTACACATGTGCCCCCCACCACCTGCACTGTACACATGCAGCCAGTGGGATTGTGGGGTCGCTGGGGACAGCAGGGCTGAGCAGAGGGTGTGTGACTCCCGCTCACCAGCCCCAGACTTGGGAACCTTTGTGCTCCTGCCCATACCCTGGGTTCTTACTCTCCCATCCACTCTGGCATTGGGGTTGACTGTCTTTTGGGTCTCTCCTGATGGCATGAGCTGGGACGGGGGAAGGTTCCTAGAACGACGGAGCCTCTCATCAGTGGATCAGGGGGACCTTCAGCCCACGGTTGCTTAGGGTCACCCTGGACAGTGTCACCTGGCCCAGGTGTCTGCCAGGTGCCTCCTCTGTTTCGGTCCCCGTCACATCTACCAGTCCCTGGTGCTGGTCACTGTGGACAGCCACTCCACGGAGGGACACAGCCCTGGGGACCAGGAGGAAGGGAGTTAATCGCATCTGCTATGTGGGGCTGCCTGTTCCCACGTGGGTGCTGTTCGCTGTCCCAGTGAGGTCCTTTGTCTGGTTCCCTGTCCCAGTGGGACACTGTCCTGGTCCATGTCCCAGTGAGGTCCTGTGTTTGGCCCCCTGTCCCAGTGGGACTCTGTCCTGGTCCCTGTCCCAGTGAGGTCCTGTGTCTGGTCCCCTATCTCAGTGGAGTTCTGTGTCCTTGGAACGACCCCACCTGTTCTCAAGTGAGGGCTGCTTTGCTCTTAGAGTCATGTGCCCACCTGCTTCCAATTGTCTTCTCAGCTCACTTGACTGGTGCTGGGGTGCCACCCCTCTGAGCCTCCCTGGAGTGGGGTTAGGAAGTGGCCTGGTGCCAGCTGCCCTTAGCATCTGGTAGACCAGCTGGGCGCATGCCTGCAAGCTCTTGCCCCAAGGGTTGCTGTGTGCTCTGAGTTGGTACCTTGACTCTCACCCAGTCTCCGGCTCTGTGGCAGAGCTCTTGGCCCATCCCCCACAGCACCTTTCCCACAGTCTAGCATGGGAGCTGGCAGGCACCTCCAGCGTTAGCATGCCTGTCCCTACACCTACCCTCACAGTATCTGCTTGCTATCTCCCCAGGATTCCCAGCAGCCTCCCTCCCACACCAGACCTTGGACTTGGCTCCATATGTCCCTGTCTGTATCCCCTGCTCCCCATGTGGGTCCCGCGGAGGTGGTTCTGAGTCTGCACCGTTCACGTTCCGTGGTGATGTGCAGCTCACAGGTTCGCAGAATTGGCCTGCACCAGCCCAGAGCGCTGCTCCCCTTCAGACATCCCCAGATGTAGCAGCCACTCTCCCTTATCTCACCAAGGTTTGCCCTTGGGTCTTGTCCCTGTGCTCTGCCTGTCGGGGAGATAGCAACTTGAGGCGGATCTTTTCCCTAGCATACTCAGCCGCACTCTGTCCTCATGGTCATGGGACCAGGTGCATGTTTCTGTTAGTGTTGAAGCACTTGTTTCTTCACGTTTGTGTTCTCACTGGAGGGTCCTCTATGTTTCCAGTTTGTAGCATCTGAGCGCTCCTGAACACATCTGTACACAGGCTTTGCATGAGCTCTCAGCTACATGGGCCAATACAAGCATTGGTGGTCTCTGCAAAATCTTAGTCCGAGTTTACTTCATCCTAGATGCTGACCGGCTGTGCCTGCAAAGCCAAGCGCAAGCCTCTGTGCCGGCCCCTCAGCGGCTGTCCTGGTGTCAGCTGTTGGGGCTTGTACTCTTGTGACAGGTGTGTGTGGCACATTGGGGTTTGAGTGGCATCTCCCCAGGAGCAGAGGCACAGAGTGGCTTTTGTGCTTTTGTTTCCACCTGTGTCTGCTCCCCGTGCAACGTGTGATCTGTGTCCATTAGGATTCAGTGTCTGGTTAAAAGGTGGGTGTTTGTTTTCTCATGATGGAGTTTTGTATTTTCCTTCCTGGTACCGGGGGGTAAACCCAGGGCTGTATGCACGCAAGGACAGGTTTCCATGACGCCAGCTCCAGCCCTTACTGTTGAGTATCAGCAAAGGAACTTTATGTATCCAGATGCAAGTCCTTCGCCACGTGACTTGGCAATGTTTTATCCCAATCAGTGGTTTGTCCTTTCATTCTCTTAAAAGTGTCGTCTACAGAGGAAAGGTTTCATCTGATAAACTACATTTATCAATTTACTATCCACGAATAAGTTTATGTTGATATCTGTGGAGCCCACGAGGAAAACAGAATCACTGGTTTGCTGGTATTTTTCTGTGGGCACTCCAAATCTGGGTACACCCAGGCCTGGGGTCCTTGGCCATGAACATCTCTGCCCAATGTGAGGTGTCAGTCATCATCATTTGGCAGTTGGCTGTAGTTCACAAGCGCAGTTTGTAGAAAAACCGTCTTTCTCCATTGAGTTGTCTCTGCACACCTGTCAGAAATCACTTACTGTGTTTGTCTGTGTCTGCTTTGAGGTTCATGTGTCACTCTCATCTGTTATGTTTGGGCTGCTTCTGATCCTCTGAGAATCTGCAGCTTCCCGGGAGCTCTGAGTTGGGATGACCTGTCTCCCCAGTCCTCAGTGAGTTTGGCTGTAGACTGGCATATATTCTGTGTGAGGTTGCATTGACTCTGCATCTTGCATGGTGAAGAGCAGACACACTCATGCTGGCTCTTCCCTGGCCCCCTTCAAACAAGAGGGCTCCGCATGGCCTCTACAGACACGGTACCGTGTCCCTGTTCTTGCTGCCCACCTGGGCCACATGCTGTCCACTGTTATCACTGCAGCATCTGTGGGACCCACCACTTCTCAGCCCATCTCACATGCATTTTTCTTTGCTGCTGAAGCGCCTGATGTTGCTTCAAATGGAGTACAGTCGACATTATGGTCTTGTGTCTTCCTTACGTCTGTGCATCCCACATGAGTATCTCATACCCTGCCCCATCCTGACTCAGCAGCTGCTCACTCGTGGCTCCGTACTGGCGTGTGTCCTGGATGCTCAGTCCAAGGAGCAGCATTGACCCTCTGAGTGGCCAGTGTTAGAGGAGCCTGGTTTCACCTCGTGCCAGGCACGATACGTGTTTCCCCCTGCTGTGTGTGGGGGGGAGCGCTGTGAGCCCACTCTGGGCTACCTGCCTGGACTTGTGAAGGTGCAGTAGAGTGTGGAGGAGGGGGCTCCCTGCAGGCCTTATCCGCATCAAAACCTGGCTGGCTTTTATCTGTAGGGGGCAATGTAAAAGCAGGCATGGCAGAGACACAAATGTACAGATATGAGTACGAATATACGGGTATTTGTACACAAATATAGATGTACATGGGTATACATACACAGGTGTGATGTGCAAAGATTTGCAAATGGGCACATGTACACAGGATGTACATACATGGGTGAGCCAGGTTGGGGGTATCTGCATGGGCTGCACACAGATGTACTTGTCTGGGCATGCTTATGAGTGTGTGGGCAGAACGCACATGCAGGTGTTGGCACGTGTGTCTGGTTGGGCTCTGCATGCATGGAGTTCACATGGCACAGCTGTGTGTGCACCTATGTTAGCGTACACCTGTTAGCATACATGCCCAGCAGGGCTCTGCATGCGTGTGGTGTTCACACACGTGTCCAGCAGGGCTGTGCATGAGCAGGTGCACCTACACACACGTCCTTCTCCAGGTGCCCCAGCGTTTCATAATAGCTTCTGGTTCTCTTCTTTTTGCTTTTGGGCCACGGCCTACTGTGCTCAGAGGGGTGCTGGGGCTCCAAGCCCGGTTGGCTACGTGCCAGGCAGACACCATGACTACTGTACTTTCGCTGCAGCCCCAGCTCTGACCATCGCCGCACTCTCCCTGCAGTCCCCGAGGTGTTGGGCTCATGCCACGTCTTCCCTCCTGCAGGTGTGGCCTTCCTGGTGGCACTGTGTCAGAACAAGCAGCTGATCGGTGAGCGAGGACTGCTGCCCTGTCACCTCTACCTGCGGCAGCTGCAGCAGCACTTCCGCACCCAGGTCGGCTGGAAGGCCATGAGCACGGCGCCCACCCTGCTGTGGCTGCTCGACCCGTCCCACATGAACTCCAACCTGGATGCCCTGGCGCTGCTGGGCCTGGGGATCTCCACCTTCGTGCTGCTGACTGGCTGCGCCAACATGGTGCTCATGGCGACCCTCTGGGTGCTCTACACATCCCTGGTCAACGTGGGACAGATCTGGTAAGTCCAGGAAGGTGCCTGGGACTGTCCTCTCATGGACTGCTTGTGCCTGCCCTGACCAAACTGCTGTCTGTGGGCCGTGGCCGAGGGTCAGGGAGAGTCCCAGTTCTTCCCTGCAGGCTGCTGCTCCCCCATGGCCTCTGCTGGGCAGGAGGAAGAGACATTGATGTGGAGTCAGTGTCCAAGGGAGCAGCCCCAGGGGCTGGATGAGGGCTAGGAAAGTGGGGGGAAGCATAACAGAGACTACATCGTTCTGTGGTGTGGCTGAGGGCAGAGGAGGAACCCCACTCCTTTTTAGGGGCCATGTTCCAGGAAAAGGGAAGAGCGTCTTGCTAAGGAAGTAGAGTGGGTTCTGGAAGGCTAGGGACTTCCAGAGCAAGGGGGCATGTGGAACTGCAGGAGGAAACCCTGTGACTGGTTGCTACCTACTGCATCCATGTTCTGGGAGAGATGATTCCTGATCTTGGCGCCCAGCTGAATCCCACACACGGTTATGCTCAGGGGCATAAAGGCCAGGCATTCTGAGTCCTGCCCGGGACTGGCCTTTGCTTTGTCCTGAGAGTCTGGGCCTGAAATGAGGCCTGGAGCCACAGTGGTCTGGATCATGGAGTCTCCTCACACCTTTGGCTGTGTCTCATGGGCCCCTTCATGTGACCTCTGAGCACTGCTGGTGTGACTCCCTCAAATCTCTGAGGCCATCCGAAGCTCATAAGTCAACCGGTAACATTATGAAGGTATTTCGAGGCCCCCTGCCAAAGTGGGCAGGTATCCAGCGACCCTGTGCACCTGCTGCCCAACAGCCATCTGCCGACATCTGTGAGACCCCTGACTTCCTATTTTGAGGTGCTCTGACTCCACCATTGAGAGTACAAGGCCAGTTGCAGGTCTTAGGACTCACCACGTGCTTGGAGGGGATGCTTAGACCAAGTCCTGTGTCCTACCCCCCTTCTCTGCAGTAAGAGCAATTCTGGCCTGTAGAGTCCTGCTTGGAGGGGACATGTCACTGCTGGTCGGGGCCACAGCAGATACTGCCCCGGCCTGTGAGCAGATACTGTGGGCACTAGAGCCCCATCAGGTGGCATTGCCACTCCTGTGTACATAAGGACCAGGCCCGGGTGCTAGTGTGGGCCCAGCTGGGCTGCCAGTGCCCCTGCCCCCAGCTTGGACACCTCTTCCTTTCACTCAAACCCCAGTGTGGCAGCACTTGAGGTCTGATTCCCAGTGGGGGCCCCACCTCTCCGGGTGCCCCTGAGGAGTCTCAGTCAGTAACCCTCCTCATGCCCTAGAGAATCCCAGTGAGGCAGTGGCATGTTCTCCCCAGGACTTCTGGGTGTCTGCCATATCCCCAAAGATGCACATGAGTGAAGGGCCTGCCTTCACCCCAACCCACTGGAGGGATCGGGCTAGTGACAGATGTGGGAGGCCACAGATGTCTGACAGATGACAATGGGCAGGTATTGGGAGATGCAGTGTCTAACACGTGTGGGTGGTTGAGGGAAGCAGTGAGCATCTGACGGGTGATGGGCAGCTATGGGAAGCAGTGAGCGTCTTGATGGGTGATGGGCGGCTGTGGGAGATTGGAGTGTCTTTTCTTTATAGGGTGGGTGGGTGACTGCCTGGCATGCCTGGCATCAGGCAGTCTGTGCACCATTGTGGTTACAGGCACAGTTCTGTCTACATGCTCATTCCCCCAGGCTAACACTCTTCTCTGCTCCCTTCCAGGTATGCCTTCGGTAAGTGCATGTCTCACAGGATCGCATGGGTGCCCTCCTGTGGGTATGTATCACCCTGGCCCATTCCGCCCACACACCTCTGTGCACCCCCTGGAGCCTCACCGGATGCCTTTGTGCCCCCATTAGAATGGATGGAGTGTCTGGGGGAGAGTGACCTCCCTGTCAGCACACATAGGACTTCCCTGTGCCAGGCCCACCCAGGGTCCCCTTAGATTTGAGTGTCAGGCCACACTGAGCTCAAGTGATAAGCCCAGGGATGCACATCAGAGCAGGGATCCCAAAAGAGCAGGAGCTTGCGCCCAGCAGGGACCCTGGCAGGCTGCGTTGCAGAAACCAGAGTTGTGTCAGTTTTAGGGCTAGAGCAGTAGGACAGCCAGGGGCGCTTGCCTTACAGATGCTGAACCAGCACCCCCAACATCCCATTGGGTCTCCTGAGCCCCCCCCCCTGGAGTGATCACTGAGTGCAGACTCCAGAGGAGGCCCTGAGCACGGCCAGGTATGGCCCTAAAAGCCCAAGCTTCCCCAGCCCCCAAGCAGGAGTTATGTTGGTTTTGTGAGAACCAGGGTCCCTGTCCGAGGGGCGCAGCATGTAGGACAGGGTTTTGTGGGAGACCATGTGGCCCCAGAGAGGGAGAAGTAAGGTTGTTGGGTGTAGGAGAGGACTGGTGGGGCAGAATAAGGAGGAGGATTCCATGTCAGGCCAAGGCTGTGCATCAAGGATGGGGAGGGAGTACCAGCTCCTCTTCTCGGCCGTACCCCCACCCTGCGAAGCAGAGCTGGTCTGTGGTCCTGGCCCCTCACCCATCAACAGTGTCCCTTCAGGCACAGGCTAGCCAGACAGCAATGCAGTTCCCCCCCGTCCCCCTCATCCTGTTAGCCCTTTCAGTCTGTCTTGGGTCTCCATTGCTAGTGGACGCCAGCAGCATCTCCACACAGCCCTGAAGTGCTGTGTGCACTAGATGCACAGCTGCTCGCCTGCAGGAGCCACGGCAGGCATGAGGCTACAGGCCCACAGTGTTGCTCGGCCCTCACACCTGCAGGCTCCAGTGCCTTCTTTTATGGTCCCCTACTTGGGCGTGTCCTCTTCTTGGCACTGTACTGTCCAGCACTGCCCACCAGGCCATGTGGTGGCTGTTGCTCCCGTACAGAGTCATAATGTCTCCCTGAAGACGTGGGTTATGTAGACACGGTTCCTGGACTTAAAAGGCCCCTGAGCTTCAAGCCACCTTGCCCCTTCCCCCGGCCTGCTCAGTGTGGGCCTTCCGAGGGCCCTGTCCACTCCAGCGGTATCCTTGGCAGAGGCCTGTGCTCTTCCTTGCTGGCCCCACAAGACCACTGAGCTTGGGGAACTGGCATGGTTCTCCTGGCACGGTCAGCAATGCCCAGATTGCGGTGAAGTTTGGTGACCAGGGAGGGCTGACCTGGCTCTCTGCCCCCCAGGACTGTGTTTTCTGTGATTCCCCCAAGGTGCTTACTGAACACAGGACATGAGAGTCTGTCCCGTGCCACCCTAGGGTGGGGTGCTGGCACCCATGGGGAATACGGTGCCAGTGCTGCGGGAAACGCAGTGCCATAGCAAGACACCGTCCTGGGACAGCGTATGTCAGAGAGGGAAGCAGTGCTGGTGTACACACGTGCACGGGGCTCCCGCCCTGCCCATCAGGGCATGTGTGCAGGCTACTGACTGCCTCCCACTGGGTTTTTGCCACCCGGAGGCACATGGAGCGGCACAGGTGTGATGTGTGACCTGTGTCTGTGCGAAACGGTATATGATACACACGTGTTGCACATGTGAAGAGCCCAGTGTGCTTTCCTGTCACCCTGTGGGCTTCAGCCACGGTGTGCGGGAACCTTTAGGGCACACGACTGAAAGGGAGGGCACAGCATTTGGCGGCCTCGTCCATCTCTGGAGAGATGCTTCCTACCTCAGAGCCCTTCAGCCACGGCTTCGCTGAGCCTCACAGACCCAGGCGGCCCTCTCTCCAGAGGCTGTTGGGCACACAGGAGGCAGCCAGACCTGGCACAGTCAGTCGAACTCAGTGTGAGCTCCCCAACTTATTGATGGTGTCAGCTCCCAGGCCACTAGGTCCTGCAGTGCCCACTTGGGTTGGGAGGCATTGGCATAGGGCCTGGAGAGCGCCAGGGCAGCCAGCACAGCGGGTACACCCGGGTGACCATGCTCCTGTGCCAATGTCCCGGAGGCTCTGACCATTGTGGACAGGCATCCTCCAGGAAAGGGCAGCGGGGCTGGCCTGCAGCATCGCCCCATGCAGCCATGAAGGCACAGCCCCGCAGGCCCCACACTCTGGGAGCCATTTCTACAGGCAGTTCCGAGCGGCAGCACAGAGAAGCTGGGCCTGCCAACCTCGTCCCCATAGTGACCCGAGGGCCCCAGGCCAGCATGATGTGCTGACTTGTGGGCTGACTTTCTCTAGTTGCTCTCCACGGCTCCTTCAGAGGAGCCATCTCTGGAGGTGAACAGCTTCCTGGTCTCAGCGGAGACACCAGGCAGGATTCTGAACATTTTCTCCTCAGGTCAGTGCCACCCAGCTGGACCCTCTGCAGCCACGGAGAGCCCTGACCCCATGGTCATCCATCCTGCCTGGCTGCCCCGTCAGCACAGATAGCACTTACACCAGGGACATGTTCCATCCATGCTGGTCAGGAAGCCCGGTGTGTGAGGGCAGGTGCCGGGTGGGAGGAGCTCTGAGGTGCAGTGCTCACTTGGCCATCCTGCTGGGTCAGCCTGAGAAGAGGGCCCCTCCCTCCTGCCCTGTCTCAGAGGACTTCATGCTGAGAGAAGGTTCTCGGCTGCTTCTGCGGGCAGGTGTGTGGGCCGCACACCCAAGCCATGCTTTTCTCCATCCATGCGCTTTTTCAGCGTGAACCCATCAGCCCAGAGCCTTACCAGTGTTCACCCACGGCCGCAGCCACGCAGTCCACGATTTGTGCTTGAGCCCTGCCATGTTGCCAGCCTGTCACTTACAGCATTTCAGTTTTTGCTTCTTCCTGATCTCCATATGCGCTGTGAGGACATAGGGCCAGTCCTGTAGACCACGGTGGCCACTGACACAGCAAGCTAGTGGACAGACCCGGACTGGTATTGGCCTGGGGCTCTCGACTGCAGCTCAGTGCACTTCACAGTGAGTGAGGAGTGCCCACTGCTGTGCTCAGGGCCATGCGGGCCACACAAGCCCAGCATGTAGAGTACCCCCTGCCCAAATCCTGTGAGGCACGGGCATGGCCATGCGCCACCTGCAGCCCATTGGTGGTGGTCAGCCCTGTGCTCTAGCCAACACTACAATCCAGTATCCAGTCAGGACTCAGCTGGACGACTCCGGCCTCTCACAGTGGTCCCTCCCTGCTGCATTCAGTGACCTTTCTAGGAGACTGGTGATAAACTCTTCCTGAGAGAAAGGCCGGACCACGTGACACACCACCCACCAACCACCTGCACAACATGCCCCACCCCACATCTGCCATGCAGGTGTCCAGGACCAGAAGTCCCTTGAGTCTCAGCTGGAGGAACGGGCGGGGTACCTCCATCCCAACTCCTGGGCACATTTCTCACCCCACAGCTGGTGCCAGGCCACGTGAACAGCAGGCGTTTGCACACCCCAGAGGTACAGTGATCCACTTCCCCCCCAAAGGAGGTCCACCGGGGCTGGAGAGATAGCACAGCGGGTAGGGTGTTTGCCTTGCGTGTGGCCGACCGGGGTTCGATTCCCAGCATCCCATATGGTCCCCAGAGCACCGCCAGGAGTAACCCCTGTGCATCACCAGGTGTTACCCAAAAAGCATAAAAACAAAAGGAGGTCCACCATCTCTGCCAGCGTCGCCAGCGCTGGACCCCTGCAGGCGCACTGGAGATGTGAATCCCAGCCACAGCCGTGTGGCCTCATGGCAGGGAACAAGAGTGCCTTGTGCTAACTAACAGCATAGCTGCTGAGACCTTACTAGGTCCCACAAAGAAGGTTCATTCGGGGTCCTGCAGAGGCTCCTGGGCTGAGGGCCAGTTAGGCCCCGGGATGCACAGGTCCCCACCCCCTCCACATGCCTCCAGCTTCCCATACTGCATCAGAGGAGGGCCGGGTGCCCCTCTCTACATGTACGTCCATCCTGCGTATCCCTGTCACTGCCTCCTGAGCTGTCACAGCTCTCAGACAGGTCTCTGGGTCCTGCCATTTCTGTGTCACTTTGATCGGTGTCACTCAGATTGCATATTAAAACTCTGCTCATCAGTCTGTGAGAACAGGATGACAATTACAGGAGGCAGGCCCCGCTGGGGAGCAGATCCACCCTGCACCTGGCGCACTGCCAGCTCCCCCGCCCCCACAACCTGTCTCGTTTTTCTGGAGCATTTGGGTGAATGCTGCAGCCCACACCTGTGTGGTGGTTTCCCCTGGCTTTGGCCACTGGCCCCAGAAATCAGGATTCCCTGGAGATGAAGCTCCAACACACAGCTGGCTCCTCATCAGACAGTAGCGTGTGGGGATCAGAACTGCCTCTTGCCACGGGTCCAGGAAAACTGGGCATGTGAATCCCAGGGAACTGGAGCCTGTTTCTGAGGGAAAAGAGGAAGCCTCAGCATTGCTCCGATCTCTACCTCCTGAGCCAGCAGTGCTAGCGGTTCCTCTGCAGCCCATGGTGCTCTAGCATGGGTCCCTGCCTGGAGCAATAGCCCCTCATTCTAGCCACCCTGCTGTGCCATGCACTGAACATTCTGCCAGAAACGTGTGACCCTGGGGTGTCAGTGAGAGCAAATAGTTCCTGAGAAGGGAAATAAGTTGTGAAAACATCCACCCACAGGAAGATTCCACTCAAGATCCACACCCTCAGCTGTGTCAACCTGTAACCAAGGCAGAGGGGCACAGCCTCCAGCCCCAATTGTTCTGCTCTGTTCACAACCTTCTGATGAGGGAACCATAGTTTTTAAATTTGTCACGTGGAGCCTGAGGGACAGCAGAAGGGTGGATGGGCGGTTCACCCAGCCTGCCTACACACCTGCCTTGGGATTCCCTGTGCCAAGCCTGAACATCTCCCACTGAGGGTTCTGTCTGTCTCCCCTCCGTCCTGACAGGGTGTCTGAACACTGCAGGATGGCAGTGTCCCTGATCCCCCAAATCCCCTAGAGTGCCCCGGGATCCAGGTGCAGACACTGGCCAGCCTCGAGGCATGAGGATGGCCCCCAGTGGGACAGCAGGGATGGTTAGGACTGAGGCTCGGGTGTATCCTCTGTTGTTTCAGGGTGGGAGGCCCAGCTCCTGGAGACGGGCTTCCTGGGCGTGTTCCTGTGCCCGCTCTGGACGCTGTCCCGGCTGCCGCGATGGACACCCACACCATGGGTGGTTGTGTGGGGCTACCGGTGGCTCATCTTCAGAATCATGCTGGGAGCGGTAAGTGCATCGCTTCACTGGGGTCCCCCGTGCGCCCCATACTCCCCAGCTGGTGGAATCCTTGAACTGCCTCGCACAGCCCCCTCCCCAAATTGGGGGCGGGGCGGGGTGGCCTCCCTGTAGCATGGGGGTCTGGTCTCCTTGCCCCCGTGGGGCTCCCACCTCGGACACCGCAAGGGTACAGATACCCTGGAAATCAGGGACAGTCAGCACGTGGCTTCCGAGAGTTTTCGGGAAGATCGGGGCTTCCCATGTACCCACAGGACAACAGCCCAGCCAAGGTAATGTACTGCAGGACTGTGGGAGGAGCACGGAAGGGGGAACCCAGAGTTCCTTCTGAACCCAGGATGGAGCCCCCACAGTAGCAGGACCCGCCTCGCACACTTCTCATCACGGCCCTGGAGACAGGCTGCGCTGCCTCCTGCGGTAACCCCATGTGTGCCACAGGCTCTGGCGTCGGCAGGCCCCAGCAGGCCCCAGTAACGCGGCTGCTCTTGAGAGCCTGAACTGCACCCCAGGTCAGTGTAGGGGGGCAGTAGCAGAACGAAGAGGCTTCATCTGGCACAGATGAGAGCCTGAGTGCAAAATCACTTCCCAGCACACAGTAAGCCTCAGGAACACGTGAGCCTTCAGCCCCGCCCACACGGTGCAGCATGGGATGCTTCAGAGCACATGACTGCTGCGCCCGCCCGCTGAACATGCAGCATGTGAGCATCCACGTGACTCAGGCCAACCTGATTGCTGTCCCAGTAACACAACTGCTCTGAGAGCCCCCTGCCCCCAAACCCCAGTTCCGTGTAGGGGTGCCGGCAGCAGAACAAAGAGGCTCTACTGGTCACAGCAGTGCACCGGGGCACAAGGCACGTGATGCTTCCCCACAGATACAGCGAGCCTCAGTGCCGCACATGAGGGCCCACGTGAAGCATAGGTTCACCTGCCTCGGGCCACAAGGCACGTGCTGTGAGGCCCTACTGGCAACTGTGTGAGGGCGGCGCTCACTTGCCCACGGGGCTGTCCACCCTCGTCTACCTGGGGCAGAAAGGGCAGTGGCGCGGCCTTGCACGCTGCCCACCCGGGGATCCGGGAGGGACCCCTGATCAATGGCTGTGGCCCAACATTTTAAAAACTGGGAGCTGGAAGTACCCGCTGTCATCTGCCCTGCGTGTAGGGGTAATGTGGGCCACACGAGAGGGAAGGCGCGTGCAGCGGAAAACCGCTTGACCAGGTTCTACAATGGGCTGGCACAGTGGAGACGCTGGCCAGGGCAGGGCTGGAGGCGCGTCGGTCTGGAGGACCTCTAGCCCCCAGCAGCTCAGCCACACGGACCGTCGCCCCGAGTGCCCTCTAGAAGGAGCCGCGCGCTTTGTCGGGTCCCGCTGAAAGGGGCTTTGTTCCTGCGGAGGAGGAGGAGAGCGGAGCCGGCACCCCCGCCCCCACCCCCGCTCGGGACCCCGAGTGCCGCGCAGAGTGACACTTTAATTGCCTTGTTTTTCTCACCGCGCCTCCTGCGGGCTCCTAAGTGCGGGGCGGCAGCAGAGGCACAGAGCACAGCCTAGGACTGTCACACGCGCATCCCGCTTCTTAGGGTCCCCGCGCCCATGCTGCGTGTGAGAGGGGTTGCGGGGACAACTCCGCTGGGGGTGGGGGCAGCAGCACTGACCATACGTCAAGTCTGCCTCTGCACTTCCAGCCCACCCCCACCCAGAGATGGGAACTAAACCTCATCTCCAGAATCGTCGTCTCTTTATGGGGGGTGGGGGCAGGGGTGGGGGGAATGCAGCAGCGATCCTGGACCCAGCTGTGCAAACCTGCCTCTGCAGTCCTCGGCCCGGCTACCACCCCCGTGCCAGCTCAGACCTGGGCTCAGCTTGCCCCTTGCTGTCCTTGTGCTGGGACAGACACAGGCTGATCTTCTGCAGCCCTGCCCACTGGCGGGCCTCAACCTTTGAAGCAGGGGAACGTCCTCAGAATCATTGGGTGTCCTGTGCACTGCAGGTGCTGGTCGCAGTGACGGGTGCTCCTGTCCCCCACACCAGCTTCTTAGTCCATGGGCCTCCCATGAGTGAGCACAATCCCTCAGCTTCCCTGGGGTCAGGTGCAGTGAAACAACAGTATGTGCTCTCCAAGAGTCTGCTGTGCCCCTTCCCTATACAAGCACCCTCCTGTGGCCCAACCAGGCTCGGCCTTCACCCCTTACCTTGCAGGGCCTGATCAAGCTTCGTGGGGACAAGTGCTGGTGGAACCTGACCTGTATGGACTTCCACTACGAGGTGAGCACCTGCATGCTGCCCTGGCACCCACGGTGCTTGTGCCTCCAGGCTGGGGACCATCTGCCATGGCTCTGGGCCTAGTTTGGGGAGTGGGGAGGGGGGTGGCGTGTCTGTTCTGTATGCACCTGTGCAGTGGGATTCTAAGGATGCTGTTCCCTTGTATGCAGACCCATATCCAGGCTCAGAACCACTGGGCTTTGAGGCCTCAGCCAGGACCCTGGGCGACACTCCTCTCTTAGTTCACTGGGGCTCAGTCCTGTGCTGCTAAGCTCCGGGATCTCACCATCCCATCCAAGGCACCTCAGACTGTCCCAGAGTCCCAGCTCCTAGAATGCCTGCAGGTTTCCAGAACGCTCAGTGCAGGTTCTGCATGTGGGACTTACGGAGTCCCGTGGGGAGAGGCTCCAAGGCCTGGAGCCAGCTGTGAGGCTTGTAGAGAGGCATTTCCCCAGAAGGAGAGTGCTCCATGGGCGAGGGTCAGTGTTATGTCCCCAGTCCCCAGCGGAGTCCCCTTACTCCTGGTTAGGGCAGGAGCCTGGCCAGCTCAGCACTCAGCTACAGGGAGCCGGGTCCTCCACCTCCCAGCTGGGGTCCTGCCCAGGCAGGGCCTGGGGGTTGAGAAGTCTTGGGCTCAGCTCTGGGGTCTGAGACATAGCTATCAGGATGGGGCCAGGACAGGGCCATCCTCCTCTGTGGGGTGACTGGGGCAGAGGGCAAACCTCTCTCTCACTGTGCTGACCCAAACCCACTTTCCCAGTTGGTGGCTTTTGGTGCAATAAGGGCATGGTTCCTCTAGGGTGCATTTTTCTGAAAGGGGGACCCAGTGCTGATAAGGACCCCAGGGAAGTACATGTGCCTTTCCCAGCTCTGCCTGAGTGGCCTTAGCAGCCCCTTCCCTCCTGAAGCCCTCCCCCAGGGCCCTCTGGCCAACACTGGGAGAGCAGCAATGAGCATTGTGTCACCCCTCCCCACGCCAAGCTGTAGGGACCCTGACAGAAGAGCTGCTGAGGTACAGGAAGTTCATGTGGCGTCCAAGCTGCAGAGGACCTTACAGCACAGATGTGCATGGGGAGCCCAATCCCATGGCCTACTTCCTGCACCACTTGGACACTGGGTGGCAGCACACAGAAGGCACCTCCACACCAGGAGTCAGGACATAGGGTCCTGGCTGAAAATCTCCCGCTCTGTCCTGAGCCCAGATGAGCAGGGGAACATGGGAGAGCCAGGAGATCTTTTATCGTTGCTGTGGGCTTTCCCAGCAGTTCCTGGGAGCACAGTGTAGCAATAGCAGCCAGGGCCTCGGATTTGCCAGGCTGGTGTTCTAGCCCAGGCAATAGTTCCACCCCCAGGGAGGTGATCGTGGGATCACCTTTTCTGAGACCTTGTTTGGACAGCAGTGACCCCTGGACCATGACTGAGCACCTGGCAGAACACTGGCTTTGGGAGAGTCCCTCAGGGTCACCAGGATGCAGCAGATGCCCAGCCAGCAAGACTGGCAGGAGCCAGGGGAGTAGGACAGGTCAGAGGGGTCTGCGGTAGGTCAGGAAACTCTCCAGGACTGGCCCCCTCTCCTCAATCCAATCCCTGTGCCTGCTCGGTGGGGGTTCGGGGCTGTGGGCATGGGGCACCCCCTTTGGTGTGCCACTGGGGCCAGGCAAAGGCTCCTGGCACTGAAATCTGCCCTCGACAAGGCACTTGTCACAGTGAGTCACACTTGAGGTCCAATGCCCTGTACCCCACAGGGACCTGGGCCTGGTTCCTGACAGGCATGAAAGAGCCTCAGCCTTCCCCCGGCCCCCCTGAGGGGAGCAACGCCTTCTCACCTTTGCTTTCCATGGTCCTGCAGACGCAGCCAGTGCCCAATCCCATGGCCTACTTCCTGCACCACTTGCCATGGTGGTTCCACCGCTTGGAGGCACTCAGCAACCACTTTCTGGAGCTCGTGGTACCCTTCTTCCTCATCCTGGGGCGGCGGATGTGCGCCCTGCATGGGGCTTTGCAGACTCTTTTTCAGGTGAGCCTGTGTCACTGCCCATGACCTTGCTGACCAGCCCCCATCAGGCACCACCGGAGTGAGGCTCGTGGGACCTGCCAGTGTCAGCACCCTGAACAGTGGCACCCCCTGCCGCTCCTCCCACGCTGGGGCCCTGTCAGGGGCTTGGTCCTGCAGCCGCCTTTCAGCCTCTGCTTTTCCAGGAAAAGGCGGTTTGCTGGATGTTGAGCTTCAGCAAATGGCGCTTCCTCTCTTGGGCTGTTACCGTGCGGATTTAGACTGTGTCCCAGGGGATGAGGATCACAAGCGGCTAAGCACATCTGGGACTGGAAGGGCCTGGGCACCCCACAAAGCCAAGAGGCAGGACAGCCAAGGATGAGCCCAGGCCCCCCTGGCTGGGGTAGAGATGGTTTGGGGAATAGGTAGGCAGGCCCCTATCTCCTGGTCATCTGGTCATCCTTGACCAAAACGGGTCAGGGGCAGATCTGACACTGCTCAGAGCCCATAGCCCTCACCTGCCCCTTCTCTGTGCCTGGATGCGGAGTGGGTGTGGCTTCTACGGCCCAGGTCCTCACCGCTCTTGGCCCTCAAGAGGGGCTACTTGGGTGGAGGGGTTTGGGTCTGGATGGGGGGCATACCAGCTAGTGCCCAAGGGCTTAGACCCAGGACTCCTGACTACCCTGCCTATGGCTCCTTCACTCAGATTTTTGTGCGGTTTCCCCTCCAGGTAGGGGGTTCTGGGGGCAAATGGGAAGGCCCACACTTGGCTAGTGTCCGGCAGGGGTGCTGCCCAGAGAGGCCTGAGAGCTGGATGGTCTCCAGGGTGCCCAGTCCTGGTAGAAGCTCTGGAAGGCAGAGGCAGGGGTCTAGGCTTTTCGGGGTGCTGTGGCAATATGGGGGCTGGAACAGTTACCGGCAGTGGGGTTCAGCCCAATCCTTATTGCCCCTTGACATTGCCCTCCAACCCCCTGCCCATGGAGTGCAGGATAGATCAGGGCCTGTCGCTTCTGGGCTGGACTGGGGCTTTAGAAGCGCCAGGTCTTTGTGAGAACCTGAGAGCCGGCCGCCCCCACCAGCCATGCCAATCTCGCCCTCTAGAGGCATCTCATGACTGCACTTGCCACGTGCCCTACAGGTGATTCTTATTCTCAGCGGCAACCTGAGCTTCCTAAATTGGCTGACCATGGTGCCCAGCATTGCCTGCTTTGATGATGCTGCTCTGGGCTTCCTGTTCCCCTCAGGACCTGGCAGCCTCAAGGACCAGGTCCAGAAGATGCAAGAGGAGGCCCGGGGTGACAGGCCCCCACCTAGATATAGTGAGTGCCCCCAGGGTGGGCCGTGGCCCCAGGGTACATAGGACAGCCCACATGGTCACTCTGTCCCTGCACGTTCCAGCTTGGGTGCCAGCACTCTTGGCATTCCAGTCCTCTGGGTTGTTTCCAGCCTTGGAAGAAGCCCACCCCCTTGGTCGAAGTGGTGAGTCTCCTTCCAGACAGGCCGAACTCACTGTCTTCCCTCGGAGCAGGCTGTGCGGTGCGGCGCGTGGTCAACCTTGCCCTGGGTCTCCTCGTGGCTGGGCTCAGCATCCCCGTCGTCATCAACTTGCTGAGCTCCAGGCAGGTCATGAACAGCTCCTTCAACACACTCAGAATTGTCAACACCTACGGGGCCTTTGGGAGGTATGGCACAGAGTCTTCCTCCCCAGGCTCTAGGGTCCCAGCTTGGAAGTGTGTAGCCCACCATGTCCCCCCACAGCATCACCAAGGAGCGCACAGAGGTGGTCCTGCAGGGCACGGCCAGTAACAACGCCAGTGCACCTGACGCCCTGTGGGAGGAGTACGAGTTCCCCTGCAAGCCAGGCAGCCCGTGGCGCCGGCCCTGCCTTGCCTCGCCCTACCACCACCGTCTGGACTGGCTCATGTGGTTTGCTGCCTTCCAGGTAGGCATGTGACTCTACACCCCCTAGGGAAGGGCTTCACCCACTAAGATGAGTGGGCTCAGCTTCAGGCACCCTGGCTGGCCGTGGGCTGAGGGTGTCTCCCAGACACCCAGTACAGCTGGGCCTGAGTGTCTGTGCGGTGGAGGCTGGAATCTCCCAGACCATTCCCTGTCCCTGGAGCAACATGGACAGACCATGTTCCCAGGACAGCTGGGGCGGGAGGGTAGGAGGGAACACTGGCATAGCAGCAGCATCCATCCCCCAGAGTGGGCACCAAGAATGCAGTGTGGCCTGTACTCACTATGCTTGCATGACCGGTGGGCCTGGGCCTGACACTTGGCAAAGTCAGAGGCAAGCAGGGTGGCAGCTCAGGGAGGAGCCCCCACAGCTTGTAGGCAGTTCTCAAGTGGCCAGTGGACCTTGAGGAGGGCAAGAGCAGAGAGCTGGGGGTGGGGAGCATGGAAGGGGGTGCACGGGGCCCGCCCAGACTCCCCCAGCATCATCCTCCCCAGACCTATGAGCAGAATGAGTGGATGCTGCACCTGGCAGGCAAGCTCCTGGTCAACGACCCCGAAGCCACCTCCCTGCTGGCTCACAACCCCTTCCAGGGCCGGGCCCCACCCAGGTAGAGGCCTGCCCACTGCCCCCCACCCCCACCCCCCGGAGCCGAGCTCGGCCACATTTGACTCCCCACTCCCACCCCAGGTGGGTCCGAGGAGAGCACTTCAAGTATAAGTTCAGCCGGCCGGGAGGCGTGCACGCGGCTGAAGCCAAGTGGTGGATCCGCAAGAGGATCGGCACCTACTTCCCGCCGCTCAGCCTCCTGGACCTCAAAGGCTACTTCCAGTCCCGGGACTGGCCGCAGCCAGAGCTGCAGTCTGGCAGAGCTGCAGCTAAGGAGAAATAAAGGGACTTCACCCGGCCGCTGGTCTCAGTGTGTGGGGGGGGGAACTCCGGGCACCAGCTTCGCTTTTCTTTTCTCCCCGTAACTCAAGTTCTGGAAGTGGGAGCGGTTCACATCCGGTCTTTCTCCCAGGAGCCCCCTGCCCTGCAGTGTGGCACAGCAGGGGGCCTCACACCAGGACTCAGTAGCCCCCGGGGCACAGACCATGAGAGAGTGGCACCAGGCTGGCACCCAGTAGGGCCATGTAACAAGGTGCTTCAGGCAGGGCTGAGGGAGCACAAGTGGCATCTCTACATACCCCCAGGCCTGCCTATGCAGGTTCCCCCAGAGTACCTGTACCTGTGTCTACCCAGGGCTGCTAGTCCATAGATGGACTAGCCTGATCTGCCAGGTCAGGGCCCCACCCCAATAGCCTTCCCCCCACACTCAGCTGCCACCACAGGACTCAACCCCCAACTCTTCTGTGTCCTTGGGGGAGGTCACCGGCGCCCTGCTGGCACTGGCCGCCTGCACCTGGGTACTGCTGGTGCCAGGCGCAGCTGCAGCCCTGGCACATTTGCATCTCAATCAGTTCGATTATGCCTTGGGCAGCTGTCTGCACAGCTCAGGACAGGCCTGTTCCTCTAGACCACGCCCACTTGCACCCCACTCACCCACTCCTGGGGGCCACATCTGAGAGGCCGTCCACACATGTGCCACTGTGTTGCCGTGAGAACCCTCAGGGCCTATGTGGAGAACACCGCATAGTGGCAGGTTAGCAATGAGTACATCAGCTGCGTCTGCCCATCCGCTGCCTGGTGCTGTGTCCATAGGGCCCTCGTATGAAGTAGATGCTCCTATTCACACACTGGGACGAGGGAGTACAGTTCACAGACCCTGCACCGAGACCCTCAGACGGCTGCACCACATCCTGCATGCTTTGGCTCCCACCTCTCAGCACGCTGGCCGCCAGCCAGGCCCATCCACTGAGGTCCTCCCTGCTGGTGGTGGCAAATGCCACCCCTGTACACACATGCCCAGAACCTCAGTCTGCAGTTGCTAAAGGTTAAGGTGCCTAGCTGCCAATGAACAAAGCTGTCCCGTGAGGGGACACACAGGGCTCAGATGGCCTTTCCTGAGATCTCAAAGGACTTCACTCTCCAGTCTCCTCCTCCGGCCGATGCGAGGATGTGCCTGTTATCTAGACCCTTGGTTTGACCACTGCACCCCAAAGCCTCACCTGCCCGGGAGTCAGCAGCTCCTGCCCCTCAGTGGATGAAAGCCCCAGGAGCTTTGGGACCTGGCAGGAGGCCCCTTTACAGGCGGAATGTGCCTCTTTCAAGAGAAGCTGCAGCACCCCCCACCCCGGGGGCGTGGGGGAGTGCCCTCAGCCCATTCCCTGCACAGGACTCCCCTGGCACCAGGGACAGCTCACGGTCTGTCTATCCTCAGGGATCATAGCACCTGACTGGCAGGACACACTGACCAAGGCCCCTTCCCGGAGTGTTGGGGAATCTCCTCCCCAGCACAGGTGTCTGGGAAGAGGCAGCAGCTGTGCCCTGAGATGCAGCCCTTCTGTTATCTCAAGTCCCCAGACAATAAAGGTTCTCATGTGGGCCCACCCAGTCGTGACCTAAGGTTGGAAGCCAAGGATGGACGCCGGGCTCCACTCTGGATCTGGAGCCACCTCCGAGGCCATGGCAGCTCCTGGGTTAACACGCAGCAGACAGCTGTCCTGTCACTTGTGCTGGCTCCAGCACAGCAGCTGCGGCAACAGCACACTTTCGCTGGATCCTGACAGTCCGCATGTGCCTGGAATCCCGTCTGGGCAGTACATGTCACTGGCAACCAGGAGGCAGTGTCCATAGGGCCTGAGTCTCTGCCGTGGCCTCTCCTGAACCTGCAGAGGTGAGAGAGACCCTGGAAGTAGCCACTGTCAGGGCCACACAGGTCCCACCAGCCCTGTGCCAAGACAGTGCAGGCACCCCATACAGCACTGTGGGTTCAGCAGCGCCCCAGCCCATCGTTCATCGAGGTGTCCGTGAGCCCAGTGACAGAGAAGAGAGGGAAGGTGTGGGGACGCTGGTGCCCCAGCAGCTGGGCCAGGCAGGAACGTACTCTCCAGGGCCTTCAGGCCCGACACCCCATCCCCAGCGTGTGGTGCAGCCCTGACAGCCATGTGTGGGTGCACCAGTCCTTCCTGGTGCCTTCTGACTGTGCGGTCCAGGGGGTCCAGCCATCCTTTGAGTCTCCTCGAACTCACGGCGCCTTAGGCGCTAAACACAGAAACTCCTCCCCTTAGCCTGACCCTCCCACAGACCACAGCCAGCACACCCTACCCCCAATCCACAGGACTGATGCCCCCATCTCAGGATCTACCACAGAGGCAGCAGAGGGTGCTCTGACAGTGGCTAAAGGGCTGTGGGGGGACTGGGACCTGCCAGGCTTGTGTCTGGTAACACCCCACAGCCATAGAGTCCCACCCCTAGCATATACCCCCAGGGGTGCCCAGTGCCCCCCGCCAGCTCTCATTGCCTGACCTCAGCAGCTCTGCTCAGAGGCACAGTCACCCCAAAGTGGCTTCCTGACACAAGGCCCTGGGAAGCATAAGGGCTGCTATGGACGGGAAGCGCCAGGACAGCAAAGACCCTCTCTTCAGGCTAGATCCTCCTGGTGCCTTGGTGCGTGGCTTCACAGGGGTGCAGCAGGGTCAGCGCACCCCAACAGAGGACCGTGGCCCAGAGCAGGGGACATAGTAAGGAGAGGGGAGGGGAGGGGGGGTGTCCTAGGCCACAGCGCCCCCTGGTGTCTGCCTGATGCCAGGCCCTGCCCAGAGGATTAACCCCAGGGGGAGAGGGGCTAGAAGGTGGGGGGCACTTACTCCCCTGGGAGAAACAGAACCAGGCCCTTGTGGCACTGATGAAGGTGCTCATGGAGCACTGGCTTGCAGAATCATTCCTCAGAGGCCCCACCAGGAGCAGCAGCCAGGGGCAAGAGACAGGACAGTGGAAAGGGCACTTGCCTTACACGCAGCCAACCAGGTTTGATCCCCAGCACCCCATATGGTCCCCTAAACCTTGCCTCAGTCCCTGAGTGCCAGGGAGAGCCAGAATTCAGCCTTGAGACAGCTGGGTGTGGCCCATGAACCAAGAAAGTTGGGCCTCTCTGATCTCTGGGATGATGCATTGCTGAGGAGGGCAAGTTCCCAGCTGAGCGGGCAGGAGGAAGTGTGAAGAGCTCCAGACAATCCCAAGAAGCCATGCACAAGACATGGGAGTGGCTCTCAGCTGGAGGCCAAGGGCAGGGAGCCAGGTGTGAAGGGGCCCTGATCCTGCTCTGGGAGACCCTGAGGTTAGCGCAGCACAGAATCCTCAGTACCACCAGACACAGGGCAGCTCATGGGGCCTGTGGACGCAGCTGTGTCCCGATTCCTAGGCTGGCAATGTATGGCCCCACTGGGAGTTGGCTGCAAGTGCATGAGGCTGGGGCCCGAACCAGGGGGCTGAGTTGTCGTGTGCTGAGGACCACTGTGGAGAGACCCTGAGCCCAGAAACCTGAACACAGACGTGGAGGAGGCTGCATGCATGTGCCCTATGGGGCTCAGAGAGCAATGCAGACCAGACTCTTGAAGGGCTCGGGCCTGAGTCCAAGACTGGAACGGGCCCTGTCCCCTATATTGTCCCATCCTGCTGCGGACCCCCTTCCAGGGCCCTCTATGATGCTAAAAACACCCCTGCCACACACACACACACTGGACCTAGGAACCACCTAAGGCTCTGAAAGCAAATGTGAATTCTTTCAAATGTTAATTAGGTGCTTCCAGAAAGAGCCCTAGACAGGCAGGTGAGGAAGAGGAAGGAGAGAGGAAGTTCAGCAAAGAGAAAGCTAGAAAGGCTGCCCTGAGGATGGGCTATGAACATTGACCTTGGGTGGCACAGTGGAGGGGACTGTGTTGAGACCAGCTTTGCAGGACTCACCCGCTGGTCAGAGCCATTGTGGCAGAGTGGGTTGAGCAGGTGTAGGGGGCAGGGATGGGCACCCCTTGGAGCTGCAGACCAGCTGAGAACACTCATAGTTCAACACCGCTTCGTGCATGTGTGCGAGCATGTTTGTCCATGCATTGATGTGCACATTTGCGCTACATGCAATGTGTGTGTCTGCGTATGTGCATGTGTTGGGTGCATGTCTGTGCTGTGTACATGTGTGTGTGGCACATATTTGTGCTGGGGGGAGGGGCAACTGCCTCTACATAAACTCCTTAGCTGTCTAGAACACTTGGAGGCAGCACCCAAGCACACATACTTGGTGCCCCAGATGCATCCTCAGCAGTGGGTCTGTTTCAGGGCAGGGTCAACTGGTGGGCCTGAGACCACCCAGAGGCTTATGTGGGAATAAAGTGGGAAACAGTAAATGGGTGGGGGAGGGGGAGGGGAGAGGGAAGAGGGGTGAGTGGGGGGGACACCAGCAGAGCCAGGCGACCAGGGCGCCTGAAGCCAACTGAAGAGCCTCATGCTGTGACTTCACACTCAGGGCAGCCAAGTGGGACAGGAGGGAGCGAGTCCAGGCCAGAGCTACAGTCCCCTTGCTCAGAACTGTCCCAAGCCATGTATGCCCGGAATCCCCATCTGAAGGTCGGGGAGTGCCATGTACCCTCCCCACCCGGGGACTCCTGAGTGAGGACACATACCCCCAAGCCCCCACAGCTCTGGCCTCGCTCCCCATGTTGGACAGTAGAGTGGGAGGAGTAAGATTGGGGGCTCTTGGGAGTTGGGGTGCGGCCCTGGGAGCCATTGTCTGAGCCCTAAGGCCCTCACAGCACTGCCACATGAGCTACCCCTTTCTCTATTTTCTCTGGATCCCAACCTCTGGCTTTTCCACATCCCTTTTGAGATAAAAATCAAAAACAAATCTTGAAAGTCTCCTGGCCCCACAGACTGGCTGGAAGGAAATGAAATAAAGCAGCGGGAACTTCCTGCTCTGCAGCTGCTGAGTCAACGCTGCTTTCACCGGCAGTGCGTGCTGGGTGGACAAGGGTGC